ATCCATCATTTTTTCTCCTGAGAAGTTCCATTATAGACTCAAGGTTGACTTCCATCCTTCTGAAGTGGGTAAAATAAGGATCTAGATTGTTGGAAGCAATATGCTGACTCTGTAAACCACTTAGAGGGCTGTAAAAGCACTGTGAAGTGGTATATAAGTCTAAGGGCTATTGCTATTGCTACAGAGTACAAGATCCCATGGACTGATGGCCACAGTCCCAATGGTCTTCAGTTTCCCAGCTACACTGTGGCACCTGTCTATAGTACCACCCATGCCCTGCAACATCTACGCACATCTCTATGCTGCTTGCCTGTGACTTCCACTACTTCCTGCTCAACAATTTGTGCGGTCCAGAGATTAGGACAGCAGCTGAGACTAATAGGTGTGCCACTGCTAAGTGATGAGCTCATGTGACATTGGGCTTTATGACTGTTATCGCTTAATGGCAGAAATTCTGATACAAATTGCCATTGTAACTCAAAAGCTGCTTTGTATATAAATACTGTTTCATCCGTGCAACTCAGTGAAGATGGTCACCCCTGAGAGCTGACTTCAAATAATTAAAGCTGGGTGTATAGATTCACTTTCTGTCTCTTATTCTGGAAAAAAAAATAGCTGCCCACTGCAATATAGTTTTGGTACCATCAATCTAGAGATCTAGCTGAAAGTTCCTGCTTTGCAAAGCACTGGTTCTGCCCTTTCTCCAATTTAACTTGTAAATAAGGACACTGGGTAGAGTATTCCATCAGCATGGGGCTAGATATCATCAGTATGTTGATGACACTCAGTTGTACATTTCAACCCTGGCTCCTCCAAATAATGCTGCTGAAGTTTGGTCTTGGTATATGGATGCTTCTGAGATCTACCGGTAGATAGGGAGAACAAGTTCAGACACAGCCCTAATAAGACCTATTGGTTTGGACTGGTATTTTCTGGATATGGGGACTTTCCATCTTTGGTTTATCTCTCTCTCTAAATAATAACCGTATTAGAATTTTAAACAAGAAATATAGAAATTAACAAAAATCTAATATTTTACTTAAAAGAAAGAAAAAAGTAAAGCAAGTAAAAAGAAACAAAGCCAAAAGTGCAGGAAAAAAAGAAAGAAAAAAGAAGTGATTTCCAATTTTTTTACATGGATCATACAAATATTGAAATGGAACTCTAACTATGGTACAAACTAATGAACACTTGAATGTTTTCAGGCATTATGTCCTTAACCTTAGTAACATTGATTACCTATGTATATATTTTTTTAAAAACATGGTACATTCTTCCAAGTCATCGTCACTGAGCTTAGTGGAGGTTTACTTTTTATCGAGTAAGAATGTAGTACTTATGGATTTTTTTTTTAAAAAAAGGCATAAATAACCAGGACTACTAAGGGTAAGGACACCTTGCCTGAAAACATTCAAGTGGCCACTAGACTGCAGCACAATTAGAGTTCCATTTCTCACTGCTAGTTTAGACATTTTGAAAGCCGGCACTAATAGTTTGGGTTCTATTGATCTAAATGAACTATTTTGCTGTTGTTGAAATTAATAAGACTGAGGTGTGTTATAAACTCAGGATTTTACTAAGGAAGTCAGCATGTTATTTTTTAAAATTAAATTTCCACAGATAATAAAATATAGAAAATGATTTGATAAAAGGAATATGATGTGTTTGTAAACTCAGTGAAGTAATAATTTACTTAGGCTTAATTATGTGTTTGGCTTGCGTTGACCTTGTTACTTAGTATCAGCAAGTATCCTGACTTAAATATCCATTGTTATATAGACCAGTATTTTTAAATCTTTAGTAAATATGAACTACAATTCCCAAAATACCCAGCCAAAATACCCCAGCCCAATATGGGTGTCATAGGATTTCCTGGAAAAAAAGAGAATAACTTGTTGCTTATAAAAAATGTTGCCCTTTAGGCCGGGACACTTTGTTATATGTCATTTTGTTGCCATAGTACTTGTCTCATAATCCTTCATCTATTCCTTTAATACCATCCTTTCCTAGTCCAAGAAGACGTTTATGCAGGCATTGACCTTGATGGCCACTAGAATATTACACATGTCCAACCTGCTAAACTGAAGATAAAGATATTAATCTTGGCAGAGGTGATTAATGTCTAACTCTTTTTTTGTACAAAGGGGAAATACATGTTTGGAGGTTTCTTCTCTTCTACTTAGTAATAGCTGAAATATTGTAATGAGCTATCCCTATGATTTTCTCTTTCTTGGAGAAAGAGAGATGATAAAATTAAGGTTATGCCTTACAAAGCTATAAGGTAGTTTCTTTGGATTTGGCTTAGTATGTTTGTGAATTTAATACTTGTGGGTTTGCAGATATTTTATCTTTTTTGCTGGGGGAAACTCATTTTGATAGTATACCATAGGCACTATGGCTACCAGGAGTGTGTTTATGGCTTGCCTGCTCATAAAATGGCTGGCATTGTGGTGTCTTTGTGGAAATTAGCAAGTCAATTGGACAGGCACCCCAAGGTCACCAGGTGAGCCTCACGCAGGTCACTCCCCCCCCCAAGGGAACCGCATTGAAAACCTCAGGTCTGACGCTTTAGTGATAAGTGAAAGTAACATATTATTATGTCTTCAAATCATAGTTAAAACAAATATTGACTTGAATCAACTCAGCCATTAGTTTGTAATATGAAGTACTGTTGCTTCTACTGTGACTACTACTTATTATAGAGCTGATATGTACAAGGTATTTACAAAATACAGTGACACCTCCACTAACAAGATTTGTTAATAGATAATAGATGTAAAAACTGAGATAGGAACATGAAGTGAGAAAAAACAGATTTTTTTAAACAAGAGGGAAAATAAAGCATATTTTTCTTGTCTAACTGCAGAGTCAATTTGTTACATTTGTAGAATTTGTTAGTGACAAAAAAGCAATCTTAATGCAGGCTGACATCACTGGACATGAATGTTTTGCCATTGGCTTTGTACACAGTGCTAGTTTAATTCCCATATAATCTATGCAGCTCTCTAAATTCTACCCATGAATCAGTTCTTACTATGCCAGTAGTGGAAACATAATTGTAGGATACGTGTTTTCTTGATTAGCAAGATTAAACTATGCTTAAGTATGTAATAATGTTTTCTTTTGTAATTCCAACAGAAGAGTACCGGTATTTTTTATCTTTTTATATAAATTGCAGAGAAGAAGAAAAAAGCTGACAGAAAGATAGCAGTTTTCATACAAATACTTCAATTTTGGTCTATTCTGCTAAATATAATGGCTACTAATCAACCTATAGTATGATATTTTACTGGCATGGATGGCACTCATTGCAGTGGTGGGATTCAGCCAGTTCGCACTACTTCGGGAGAAACGGTTGTTAATTTTCTGAGCAGTTTGGTGAATTGGTTGTTGGAAGAAATCATTAGGGCAGAGAAGCGGTTGTTAAATTATTTGAATCTCACCACTGCCTCATTGCATTCCTTTTGACAGCCATTTTGCAAGGACAGTCTTTCTAGTCATTATTTTAACTCTTAATATCAGAACTCTAGAATAAAAAAAGGAAATTAATTTACAGTTCAGTAAATGCAAATACAAAATATGAAGTAAGTATACCTTTTCACATTCCTGAAATCATGTTTAATGTTCCATCTTTTTAAAACCTGCCCTGATTGCTTTATATAAGAAGAAACTTTTGTAAAGTATCTTTTCTGATAGCAATCTGTTTATCACTCTGGCATATTCTTTCACCTATTTTTCAGCTGCATTAGTTTGCAACAAATATAGGTGTTATAGAGACTCTGCAATCCACCTAGAGTCTGCCAAAAGCTAAATATTTAATATTTTTTCTACTACTTGGTGAACATATTGAAAAAATGTAAGCCTGTTTCTTTAAACAAAAAGTTTGCTTCTACTTTGCCTGATGTGCTGTGATGTCACTGTCACTCATTCTGAAAGTATTGCTTTCCTAGAGATGCCAAGCCTGCCAGGCTAGTTGCTAGGATACAAGGGAATGTTACGGATTACTTTTACACTGAATCATTCAGACGGATTACTTGGGAGAGAACATAATGTCATAGCACATTGTCAGTGAAGTCATATCAAGAATTACTTCACATTCTTTAAATATGTTGTTTTCCAATTGTGAAAATTTTATATTAAAAAGTAGTTTTATTTCATGCTACAAACACTAATACTTTTCAAGGAAGTTATGAACTTTGAAATAGCATCAAATATTGGGAAGAAGGCACAATGTAAGTATTACAGAGTACTGAGAAACATTGTTGAATGATTGTTAGCATTCCAAAGCATGTTAAAGGACAAAGCATGGTCCCTTGAAAAAATGATTACAAAGATTATGTGGTGTTTATGACCACATGAAGGTAACTGGAATTATTTCATTGCTATGTCTAAATCAACTAATATTTAAATGAAGAATAAAGTATTTGCTCTTAACATCTAATTTAACATCTTAATGTGGTATTTTTCAACCTTGGCAACTTGGCAGATTTCAACTTCCAGCAAGCCTGGCTGGGGAATCCTGGGATCTTAAAGTTGCCAAGATTGAGAAATACAGTGGAATAAAAAATAGTCACATGATTTAGTCCCATGTGATCTCGCAAAATAGGAGAAGGGAAAGGACAGAGTTAGTTCTTCATTTTTGTAGTCTTTAGTACTTTAGTTTCATTTTGCCACAGCAAAAGATGACATGTACTAGGAATGAAGGGCAAGTACTATGTGGTGACCAAGAATATAGTTAAATGCATATGTTGCCCCTCAACATTCCTTCTGTTGCATGCTTCCCATTGCAGTCTTTCCTTATGTCAGTGCCTTGGAGCATTAAAAGGCCAGATGCCTGAGAAAAGGCATGTTTCCATAGGCACTTAACTATGGTACTGTAGGAAGGAAAATCCATCTAGTTCAGTTCCAAGTTGGGAGAAAGGCACTGGAAACAACATGGAAGTTCTTTGGAAAGAAAGTTTAATGATGAAGCAAAACAAAATAGCAGTATGGTACCATACCTTCAGTCTTCCTCCATTCCTCTTCTCTCAGCTCTTGCAATTATTGTTAGCTTATCCCCATCTGACATTATCTAAAGGCAGCCTCTAAATCTTTGAAGTCCATTAGGTTTTGTCACCTTGGAAGAAACTCTGGGAACTGACAGCAACTGGGAATAAAAGGAGAGAAGTCAAAATAATGATTTGCAATGAGGACACGAACCTTTATACAGGTAGTTTTGTTCCAACTTGAGAATGGATGGAGAACATTGTAACTCACTTGTAGAAAAAGGCCAAGAGATTATCACAACAAATTGACAGAAATTAATATACATGGAACTATTTAAATAATAATTGATATTATTAAAATTAATAATCATGATAAAGGAAGAAGAAAAGCCAGGAAAAATATAAATTTTGCTTTGTGTACATTAGTTACTTCAGTGAACATTCAATAAGAGTTGGCTGTACCTGCCTGCTCTGAAGATATGGCTTAGGAACATTAATTTCTATGATCTTGATGTGTCCTTTGAAATTAACAGGATTATTCATATGAATTGACTGAAACTTTAAAGATGGATTTGTTGTTCTTAGCTGTGTTCCTAGTACTTAAAATTTCAGGACCTATAGATTTTTGGGACGAGAGCTAACAAAAATAATTTTTCTACAATATGGCAAAAAAATATTCAAAAAAATTGTTATACATTTAGATTTAGATTATTTGAACAAAGAACAAGGCTTCTGAAGAATAGTCAGTTAATTTGGAGTGAAATTGAATGTGCTATCTTTATATCTCGTTGCAGTTTTGGTTCCTCACCCCACCCAACCAAAATGAGATGGCAGCACTTAGCTGAACATAGCTGATGCCTACAAATCAAACAGAGTAATCTAGATAGTACTTGAATCAAAAAATCATTTAAAAAAAATCACAGGACTGAGGATTCCCCCAATATGGCTGCTGAACGGTATAAATGTTTTCCTGTCCTGCTGACAATTTACTGATTTTGCTGCCAGAGCTGGTTCTCTGGAAGTGCAGCTCCCTGGATTTGAATGGGAATACTTAGGAATAACCCAAATGACTTTTGGATGGTGATGGTCCCATCTAGGAAGGAGAGTCTTGAAGATTCCAGTTCTCTTTGGGAGCGGTAGAAAATTAGGGCATCCAACTTCCTTTCAGCATTTCATTTTCTAACCATGCCTGGATATTAACTTCCACTTTTTGAATTTACTGCTTTACCTTGCTTTTTGTCTTTAGAAGTTGACCAGCTGGTTAAAAGTTGACCGACTGGTTGAACCTACTTTAACCTCTTGCTGGATTTTATCTGTTTCCCCCCCCCCTTTCTTTTGATTTAGATTATTTTGAATAATTTTTGCTTTTCTGTATGGAAATGAAAAACATCCTTGGATGCTGAAGTGTTTTTATTTGATTTAGATCATATTAGACTTTCACCATAGGTTTTTTTGTACTTTATTAATTTGCAAAATATTTGGAGTTTATTTTTTTAACCTTTGTTTTAACTTTGGATTGACATACCTGGAAAATATCTTCCCTGTTCCTTTGATTTATTTCTTCACTTTGCTTTAATGTTTTTTGCTTCCTGGCTAACTTATACAGATCAACAATTGGACTGAATTAAAATGAACAGACTGGCTGATTTTTTTTTTTTTAACATGCAATCTTTAGTTGAATGCTTCTTTTAAAAAACTGATGAAATGATAATGGCTATGGCAAACATACATAGGCATGTTGTCCTGAAATTAGATTCACAAAAGGAATGATTTGGAATTAGTTAATTTGTTGAAAAGAAATTGGGATTGTAGTTTTAAAATTAACGGAACTGATGACATACATTTTTTTGAAGTTCAAGCCTGCAGTATTTTACAACAGCAGAAATTACACTGAGTGGAGAAGTAAATTAGCTTTCCTCAGGAGGATTGAAGATGAGGGAATAGATTTATCACACTTAATCGGGAATAAATTTTATCTGGACTTTTTTGGGAAGATAGACCAATTTTGAACTTATTATATTTAATCAGACAATTTATAAGAAATGGCATTAAGAAACAAATTTGATCCAGGACAAATTACTGTTAATCTTTGGGATGAGTTGAGATAGATAAGAAAATGGAAGATTTTCTGAGTTATTCACAATAACAGTTTGTTAACATAGGAGTACATTTCGTCTTTATTATAATTGTTCTTGCTGTTAACTATTTTGTTATCAATATTGTATATAGATGACAGGCTAGCCATTTGCAAATGGTAGTTTAAAATCTTTTGAGCTTGTTTGGCATAGGGTGATAAATTAATTTTATAATAACATATTAATCAGTATGGGAGATAATATGTTTATAGGTGTTAGGTTTCTTTCTTTCTTTCCCAATGTACTTTTTTTAATGTCTTGCTTGTTTTGTGTTGGGAGTTAAATCCAGTCTGTTTTTATTCCAATCTGGGAGAGAAATGTAGGGAGAGGAAATATTTGAGGAAGGCTTCAGTTGGAAAGGATGTTTATTGGCTCAGTAACAGCAATGATAGCAGTAAATGTTGGTCTTTGAATGAGATATTAGATATGCACATTTCAGAAAATGGGTGAGGCTAGACTTAACATAGAATTTGCTTTGGTTCAAAATTAAAATGCTTTCAATATAATTTAAAATTAGGAATATTATTATAAGGTATTTAGCTTCAATTTGGGATATTTAATATGATGAAAAGTCACTTTGTTCGCTGAAATGGCTAAGAAGGGGCAGCATTATGATACATTTTAATGCCTTAAGTTAAAATCTGATTCTTATTGAAGAATTCCATTGAACTTTGGGATTTTTCAATAACATAATGCAGAGTGTTATTTTATAAAAATAAATAAATATCAATTTGGATATCTCATCAATTTGAACATCCTCCTGGAATGTTCCATCACTAGAGGTTTGGAAGTGAAAATTGGACAGTCATTTGTATGAATGATATCTGGATTCGTTCTTGGGATTGGACTAGAATTCCAGATCTTTTCCAATTCTTGGATTTTATGATAAGCAGTATAAGATAATGGTAGATTTCACTTTAGTTCATTTTTTGAACTAAAAGTTCACAAATTGCATGTTAAAGGACAATATACTTATGCCAATATCTAATTCTAATTGACAATAAATATGCAATAAGTAAAGAAAATAACTAGCTTTTTGGTTTATGTTACCATAGAATCAGAACGCATGGCATTTTTGACTATTATTAGATAAATATTCATTTACATCTCATTATATTAAAAACTATAAACTTGATTCATAAAGAAAGAAAGTGTTAATCCTGCTGCTATGAATAATTAACAATGGAACCTAACTTTTTTTCCCCTTTCACTCCCAAATAATCACTGGAGCAGGGGTTCTTTCTAAAAGACAAGAAAGCATATAACAGTTTGTCCTCAATTTGTCAAGTAATCAAATTGCTTGTGCATAGCAACTTCTAGATATTTTTTTAAAAGATAAAAAGTGTCCTTCAAGCAGACTTTAGCCCCAAGCCAGGGGTTTCTAGATGCTTTGTTTTTTTTTTCCAAAAAGGAAGATAAAAAATGCCCTTCAAGTGGAGATGAACTACTGATGGCCAAGGATAGGGATTTTCCTTGACAAAAATGTTTAAATTATTTGGTGTGCAATTATGGTTTCTTCTGAGTTGTTTTTCAACTTCTTCGCTACATAGCATTAATACCTTCTCATAGTTTCCCATTAAAATATTTATGATGATTCAGCTTCTAAACTCTAACAAGATTAATCAAATTTGGTGTAATTCCTTCTGATCAGGCACAGTACCATAAAAATTAAGCAGCTATACTGGGCTAAAATTTTCACTTTCCACCAGGGAATTATCTGGATATATATATTTCTGTTTAGGGATACATTTACCCCTAAAATAGATGTAAAACACACTATCACTTCCTGCATACTTTTGTGTGTGAGAAATGTGTCTAGATTAATATTGTTGGGAAAATATGGATTATATTGACAAATGTAAACTACTTCCTTAGTTTTGCTGCTCAATCAGGAGCTATTACAGCGTCAAAAGAAAGCAGCACATGTTGCAATTCAGCATCAACATATCCCTAGTTTATTACATATAACCTATTTGAATTTTCTAGAATCTTTGGTGCTGTTTGTTTGCAGACGTTTCATTCCAGACTTCTATAGGTAACATCTTCAGTGCTAACAAGGAGTGGGGTTTGCTCCTGTTTTTGGGGCCAGTCCATGTTGGTAGAGGGCTTGTTTTCACTTTAATAGTTCTTTGGTTAGGCTATTTGATTGCTTGTCTGAGTTGATAGTTCTGTGATAAGGGCATTGTTTATTGCTTATGTTAATTCTGGTATTCCCTGTTTATGTGTTGTTTGCAGAGGTTTTCTGGCATTTTTGTTTTCTTTTTAATTTTTTTAATTGTCTCTTTTGAATCCATGTGTAAATGTGCTTTATCTGTATGTGCCTCGGCTGTTGGTTCTTTTGGTTTACTTAACATATTTTGAAATTGTGGGTTTCAGTGGTATAAAATTGCATGTGATGCCTATATTGTATAGGCAGTTTATCTCTCTTTTCTGGTGTTCTGCATTATGTTTGTGCTCGTTTGAATAATGTTCTTACACAGCTCCTTTTGGGAAAAGATGGTTTGTTACTTTGGAAGGGGAATACTTAGTTGGTTTTCGATAGACTTGTATTTCAAAGATGCCATTTCCTTAGCTGATGTGGATAGTTAGGTAGGTTAGGTTTGCTTTCTTCTTCCTTGTGAATGTTATTCCTTTGAAGATGTTGTCATGTAGTTCTTTTTTTATTATTATAACAAAGGTGTTGTCTACATACCAGATTCATACTTTTGGTTGCAAGTGTGGGAGTACTGTAGTTTCTAGACATTGCATTTCAGTCTCTGCCACGAATCTTGAAGGTGGTAATCGCATGGGTATTTCTCTGATTTGCTGGTATATTTGTTTATCAACCTGAAAGTAGGTAGTAAGGTAGAGGTTGATGAAATCTGTGATACTGGGCATTTTGATGTTAGTATATTTGATTAGTTCTGGTATGTTGTACAGTACTACTGCCATGAACCACAACATTTCACTAGTTCTGGGTCTATAGATATAAAGAGTGTTGTATGCAGAGGTGGTATTCAGCAGGTTCAGACCAGTTCTGGAGAACCAGTAGCAGAAACTAGTAGCAGAATAGTTCAGAGAACCGGTAAATACCACATCTGACTGGCCCCACCCCATCTATTCTCTGCCTCCTGAATCCCAGATAATCTGGAGAGAATGGAGATTTTACACTATCCTTCCCCTGCTAGCCCACCAAGCCATGCCATGCCACCCCCACCAAGCCACCCCCATAGAATCTGTAGTAAACATTTCTGAATCCCACAACTAGTTGTAAGGTTGAATAAAACCTATGAAATATCTGAATTTTCTAAAAAAAGCAGCCTTCTCAAGGTTAATATATAAAGCAATGCTTCCCCCCCCCCCGCTATAAAAACTTGGTAGGTATCCATCTTAAATGTATATAGATACAGCAGACTTTAAGCCAAACAGCAATATTAAAGAGCAAATAGTACTCAAAGATGAAAACATGCACTTGGGGAAGCTTTAAATCTAAGGAACTGTGGAGAAAATGTATTTGGTATTCTACAATTCCATCAAACGGGTACTATTTATTCCCTCTCACACACACAAACATTCACACACATACTCACTCACAACACTTCTTTTAAGTAGCAACTGCATTAAAAAAGTAAAAAAAATAGCAAAAAGACGTGGCCGAAGGGCAGTAGAATTTCTTTCTGCATTCCTTCGGCATTGTAACCATGCTCAGAGGCATTTTCTCCCTGTATTTAAGCCGGGCTCCTAGCTCTGTGGCCGTCCCCCACCTGTCTCTTTGTGCCTGACTATTACCCACCGGTGGGCTCTTCTCTTTCCTTCGCTCTTTTCTGTTACTGCAACTTCCTCGTAGCGTTGAAAGGGAATCCCTGGGACTCCAAACTGAGTAATTCCTATTGCCCCACCCCCCACCCCATCCCTTCCTGAGGCGGCGGAGACAGCAAACCAAGTTTGTTTGTGTGTGCGCGCGCGCGTGTGCGTTTTTGCGGCTAACGACCTTGGCCAACCGGCTGTGGTAGGAGGGAAACTCGGCCAACCTCTGCCGGAAGCCTAGTCAAACGCCCCAGCGGGGGACGTGGCCGAGGAGCGACCGCTGGGTTCCCGCCAAGCTCCTCCCACCTTGGCGACGTGTGTCTCGCAACGTGCTGAAGGGCGGGAAGTAAACAAGGCCCGGCCTTCCCTGGCCGCTCCCCCTGTGCCGGGCCTCCAGTACCTTCCAGGAGGGCCTAGGCCTGCGAAAGGGAGGAGGGAGCCGCCCAGAGCTGTGGCGCAGCAGGAATTCCCGCTCCGGCGCGGCCCGAGGAAAACGGGAGGGCGAAGGGAGGGGGCGCTGTTTCTGCGGACCCGCCTCCCCACCCGCGTGAGGAGGGGGCGGAAGCGGTCTCCGGACGCCGACGCCGGGGGGGCGGGGATGCCCGAGGCTATTTTTACTCGCTCGCCTCATCCTTTCTGGCTACTTGCACGGAGGGGCGGCGGCAAAGCACTGGCCGCAGTGGTTGCTCTCTAGCCCGGCCCCTGCAGCCTTCCTGGGTTGCTGTGAGCGCCGCCACCGCAACAGCCTATAAAGAGCCGAGGATGCAGCTCTACAGCACTATCGTCACTCATTATCCGGCCGCAGCGGCAGCAGCGGCAGCGGGAAGCGGCGCGTCCAGCGGGCCGGGAGTCGTGTTCAAAGTCTCGCCGGAGCCCGCGGGACAAAACCCGGTTGGAATTGAGAGCGACGTCGTAGGTGGCGGAGGAGGGACCGCGAGTGCCGTCACAGCGGGAGCAGCCAGCAACATGCCCGCCTTCTCTTGCTTAGAACTGCTGCCCTCGGCGGGGCCCGTCCAGAGGAAGCCGCCACAGCCGCAGCCGCAGGTCTTTAGCTCTGCGGCGCAAATGACCCGCCGCCGGCAGCTGGAGAGAGTGGTTCCCATCCAACTGGTGCCGCACTCTGAGTCCGTCGGAGAGGTGAGGGAGCTGGACCCGCAGGCCCACCCATGGTTGCTACTGGAGAGCAATGGGGGCGAAGTCGCGGCCGCCGCCCAGCCAACCTTGCAGCCGGAGCCCAGCAATCGTGGTCTCCGCTTCAACGAGCATTGCCAGGCCTTGCAAGCGGCGGCGGCAGCCGGCTCCTACTCCGGACTTGCAGTTGAACCTCAGCCCGCCACCACATTGAAAGTTGCCGAGGAGGCGAGCCCCAGCCAGTTGCGTCAGACGGAACGGAGCGAAAAGCTGGCGCTGTACCTGGCCGAGGTAGAGAAGCAAGACAAGTACCTGCGGCACAAGGGCCGCTTCCGCTTCCATATCATTCCCGACGGCAACTGTTTGTACCGGGCCGTCTGCAAAGCCATCAATGGGGACCAGCGTCTGCATGGGGATCTTCGCGAGCAGACAGTGCACTACATTGCCGACCAGCTGGAGCACTTCGCACCCATCATCGAAGGCGACGTCGGAGAGTTCCTCATCAACGCTGCCCAAGACGGCACCTGGGCCGGCTACCCTGAGCTTCTGGCCATGGGGCAAATGCTGAATGTCAATATCCACCTCACCACCGGAGGCAGATCCGAGAGTCCCACCGTCTCCACCATGACCCATTACCTGGGCCCCGAGGATCCGAGCCGAGCCAGCATTTGGTTGAGCTGGCTTAGCAATGGCCATTATGATGCTGTGCTGGATCATCAGTGTCCCAATCCAGAATATGAGGAGTGGTGCAGGAAGACACAGATGCAGCGCAGGAGGGATGAGGAGCTGGCCAAAACTATGGCAGTGTCCTTGTCCAAAATGTACATTGAGCAGAATGCCTGTTCCTGAGATAGGCATTGCATCCCTTGCCTGCTGTTCTGGTGCCTTAATTGTTCTCCATTTCTTTCTCTAGAAGTTGTAATTCTTATATGGAGCAAAAACCTGAAGAGAAGGAAGGGAGAGTGAGATTTATAATGAATGCTTATCTATAGATTATCAGATACTAGTTATTTTCCTATCTTTCATTTTGTGTATATAATGTTTCCTTTATTTCCATACACTCTGTTCTTTAAGAGAAGATTTTCTTTTTGCACTTTTTCTAGTCTTTGTTCACAGCCAAAATAAAATTTAATTTCATTCTTTATTTGCCTATAGATTTTTTTCTGGCCTAGGTGGCTGATAGCATAAGTTATTTTATGTTAATATCTGACACATTCACAGTATCATTCTTTCAATGAAAAATTGTAATGCTTTCTAGCAAAGGTGGAGAGCAATTGGGCTTCAGTTAACTGGAGTAAGATGGGTTTTCAATGTATTTGACTTTTTTGTTTGTTAATCACAGAAACAATGTGGTTTAAAAAACTGCAGACACACAAAAGATACTTTAAAAGTAGTCTTGCTCTTTTTAGGAGCTCCTGTCTGCCCCTTGGTAGTTCATCAGCAGGTTTATCACATTCTTTTGTTTCTAATTGGCTTAACATGGTATTATGTACAAATATATTTATACTAAGTTTGTATGGTTTGCTGGGTCAAACATCCAAGGTAGAAACCACCCTCTTCAATTTTGAATGAACTGAAATGGTTAGATATATTTATTAAATGGAGTTTGTACTTTTTTTATTTTGTGACTTTGGAATTTATACTGTATTTGTATAATAGCAATATTCTTAGCATTCTGGAATAAATGTATAATTTTGCTTGGATCTCTGATACATGTCTGTGGGGTGAAAATGTCTGTCCTAAACTTTGGGTTTCTGGTTAGGCTGCAGAAAGAAAGCGAAAGTTCTTGGCAAAGCCTAATTTTTTTCTTTGGTACTAGGCTTGCTACTGGATCCACACCAGGAATAGTGAATAGGAAGGTGCACCTGAAAATCAAGTGTCATGAATGTAGATGTTGGAGTATCTCCATTATACAATTTTGTCCTCCTCTTTCTGCTTTTTAAATAGTGGGAAAGGGTTGAGATGTAAAGACTTTATATGAGCCATTTAATATATAACCTAGCTCCAAAGTCATAAACTGGTTAGAAGATAAATATTACTCTTACAAATGTTCAGTGATGCAAAATCAGCAGAGCTGGGGTTTTTTACTTCTCAGGGAAGAGTTTTCACACAAACAATTCAATTTATTTGAATCTTAATTTTAGTGTGTTTTCCATTTCAAAATAATGTATTAATGATTGTAATTGCAGGGTCTGTGGGGGGGGGGGCAGACAGAATGGGCTACCTATTGGGGTTAGGTTAGATACCTAATGATGTAGTTGTTAGGACCACAAAGTGGTAAAGGTGTAACTTTTCCGCTACAGGCCAGAAGACTTTCTACCATTCAGCCCCAAAGGCAACAGTTTACATATTTAATAGAACTTTTCATGGTGCTTAGAATTACAATACGATGCTGTAATTCAGTGATAGTAATCAATCAAACATATAGAATAAGCATGGACAGGTAAGAACATGTTATAGACTAATCAGTAATTCCAGTTACAACAAACCCTGTTGTGTACTAATCAAATTGCAGAAACCACATTTCACAGGAAATGTCATGTTTAGTGGAATTAACTTGATATCAGGCTGCTCTGCATCAAATCCTATAAACTGATATGCTAAAAATGAGCAGAATTTGCCTAAGAATATGGAAGTGGAGGTCTGCTTGTTTTACTAGTAGTAGAAAGAGGTTCTTCTGTGAATCCAATCACAAAACAGGAGGGGTTTTGCCACATAGAGATTTTCAAGCCTACTTCCTTGCAATATTAATGAATGCTGCCCCAAGTGCAATATGTCCAGGGTTGCAATTGTGGAAGAATAACAAAGCTCTCACTTTAAATTGGATGAAGCATACAGAATTTTGCTCCCGAGTTCATTTTGATTAACATCAATTTATAAACCAGACTAGTCCAGTTCAGAAGTGGGAACCACCAGCGGAAACCATGATTTGGATAATGAAGTGTCATTTTGTAACTATTCACCCACAAAAATAGGTGTGTGCTCCGTCCCTGTTCTGGGCAAAGGCATATTTATTACTTTTATAAACATGAATCCATTTATTAAAAAGCTGTAGATATAAACATAACTTTTAAAAAAATTAAAAATTCTTTGTGGTGGGAGGCTGTTCTCTCTAGGAAAAGGCAAGAAAAATTCAAAGAGACGAGTATCAAGGTTAAATGTCCTTGGCAGCAAATTTTCTGATAACTATCATTTACTATAAGGTCTGGATAAGAGCTGGTTTGGCCATTGGACACAAAGTTAAGCTGAAAATTAGAACTTCAGGATCATGTGTTTCATTTTTTTCTTAGCACTGAAACTCAACAAATTCTTTTAATGCTACATTTAAGAAAAAGGGGGTGTGCCATCTGAATTTTCCATCAAAGTGTCTTGAGCTATGCTTTGAATTGCTCTTACCTTAGATTCTGTTTGATGCTGACTTCATTTCCTGAGCTTCTGTAATATCCTCCAGTGCAACTCAATTGCATTTTTCATAATTTCTATGGTCATTGTGACTGCAAATTCTGGGAATCCCCAACACATCTATGGGACACCAAATTAAGGAGTGCTGATCTAGGCCGTCAAATGAGCTAACAGAAAACATTAAAGCATTATACATTAAAAGGTTTGATTTTCCACACTAACTGGTTGCTGTCGCTATGAGAAATGATGTATTCTCTATCGGAGTGATAAGTCCATTGAACATAAAAGATCTGGTTGAAGCTGAAAGGTGGGCAAGCCTGACATTCTGTCACATGATAGCCCACCAATACAATACAATAGCAGAGTTGAAAGGGACCTTGGAGGTCTTCTAGTCCAATCCCCTGTCTAGGCAGGAAACCCTATACCGTTCCAGACACATGGCTATCCAACATCTTCTTAAAGACTTCCAGTGTTGGGGCATTCACTACTTCTGGAGGCAAGCTGTTCCATTGATTGATTGTTCTAACTGTCA